GGGCGGGCACTCACCTCCCGGGGCTGGGGGGGGGGTTAGGGCCTCTGCAGCATTAGTCACAAAATGACAATATAAACATTCTAAACTTATCTTGTGACAAGTCACTCAAGGGACACTGTTGTCAGAACACATTATTAGAGCTGTCAATCTAATTTGTCTTTTTATATATAGGAATAAAAAAACAGGACTCCTACCCACTAACTTCCAAATTATCTGCCAGAAAACTAGGGTTTTTAAGTGCCTTCTGCAGCATTAGTCACAAAATGACAATATAAACATTCTAAACTTATCTTGTGACAAGTCACTCAAGGGACACTGTTGTCAGAACACATTATTAGAGCTGTCAATCTAATTTGTCTTTTTATATATAGGAATAAAAAAACAGGACTCCTACCCACTAACTTCCAAATTATCTGCCAGAAAACTAGGGTTTTTAAGTGCCTGCGTAGCCCCTGGAATCAAGGCTAAAGGTGCTCCACCCCACCCAAACAAAATCTGAACTAGCACCGTGGTGCTAGTTCTGAGCTGGGGCTGTTACAAATCTGTTGGGCTACATCTACATTGGCAAGATTTTGCACAAATACTTTTAACACAGGAGTTTTTGCATTAAAGTAGTTGCACAAGAGCATCTACACTGGCATGTTCTTTTGCACAAGAGATGTGCTTTTGCACAAAAGCATCTGTGCCAGTGTAGACATTCTCTTGCTCAAGAAAGCTCTGATGGATATTTTATCCATCAGGCTTTCTTGCACTAGAAATTCATGTTGCCTGTCTACACTGGCCTCTTGCGCAAGAACAGTTGGGCAAAAGGGCTTATTCCTGAGTGGGAGCATCATAGTTCTTGCACAAGAAGCACTGATTTCATACATTAGAACACCAGTGTGCTTGTGCAAGAACTCCCCACCAGCATAGACAAGCAGCATGTTTTTGTGCAAAAGCAGGTGCTTTTGCACAAAATTACGCCAATGTAGACACAGCCTCAGTGACTATAGAAGAGAACTCCTTGTGATGATTGAAGGAGTAATCACCCATGTTGAAGTTGGAAACACAGAATTGATTGTTGGGTTTTTCTGGTTTATTACATGAGATAAAAACCTCCTAACCAAAAGTAACAGAGGTAGCCATGTGTGAGGGGGTTCACTCACCACCATAGCACCCCCTGCCACCTGCCCATGGAATTAGCTCCTTCTGCTGGCAGGGTACCTTCCCTCAGGTGATGTTTCCCCTCTTTCCTCCAGGCCACGGCTTCTCTTCAGGACACTACCCTCCAGCAGTGCCCACATCTGTCTGTCTGTCTGTCTGTCTGCCTGCCTGTCTATCAGTCTGTCTGTCTGTCTGTCTGTCTGCGGTCTCTCTCCCCCCCCGCCCGCCCGCCCGCCCGTCCGTCCGTCCGTCCGTCCGTCCGTCCATCCATCCGTCCGTCCGTCCGTCCATCCATCCATCCATCCATCCATCCATCCATCCATCCATCCACCTACCTACCTACCTACCTTCTGGGGCAGCTCTCCCCTAGGAGCAGCAGCCCATCATTTTATATGGTTCCCAGCTGGGCCCCAATCAGCTAACATGGCCTCAGCTGGGTCCAAACTCCCGGACCCTGCTTTGGGCCGGGGTTTGCTCTTAAAGGGCCAGTGCAGGGCGAACGCCCTGTCACACCGTGTTAGTCTGATCTTGGTAAACTAAAAAAAGCTGTCATGTAGCACTTCAAAGACTAACAAGATGATTTATTAGGTGATGAGTTTTCATGGGGCAGACCCACTTCTGATCTGAAGAAGTGGGTCTGCCCCACGAAAGCTCATCACCTAATAAACTATCTTGTTAGTCTTTAAAGTGCTACATGACTGCTTTTTTTGTTTCTCATAACCAAAGTGATGCATGAGGAAATTTTGTGGTTCATTCCACTGGGTTCTTTACTGCTAGTGCTCAGCACATGAATGTGATCTTTTGCAACCTCTCTCATGACATTATAGAAGGCAGAAGTGCAGCTCACACCACACATAAACTCATGTCTCAGCACTTATTTGTTCTTTTGCTGTGCTTGCTGTTCTCCATAGAACATTATTTGCTGTTTGACTAAAGTGCATAGTTAATAAAATTATTTCATTTGGAAAGCACTCCTGCTGCCTCACCAAAGACTCATTTTATTTCACAATCTATTAATACTCTAGTCAACGTTGTAAACAATTCTTAAAATATAGATTACCCCAAATACTAAAAGGAGAGACAAAGTTGTATGACCTCCCCCCCAAAAAATTGAGTGTATGGGGGTGTCTTACACAGAGATATTAAAAAAGGGAAGCAGTAGACCTGAAAAGAGGAGCAAGTTACATACACCTTAGCTATATTAAGGGCACTTAGGGTATGTCTACTATAGGATAAGGTCAAATTAAGATACACAACTTCAGCTACGTTAATTGTACCTTACTTTGACTTTTGGTGCTGTGTTGGGAGAACACTCTCCCTTGGACTTCCCCTATTCCTCATGGAAATAGGAATACTGGCATTAACCGGAATATCTATCTCAGTTCAAATGAGCATGTCTTCACTAGACGCTAATTCAAACCCTGGAAGACTGACAGCAGCAGCTTCAATCTTCTCTGTAGTGTAGACATACCAGTAATGACCTAAATGGTGAAAACCCTAAAAGGTGAATAACAGAGATATGGTCTTGGGCTCCAGGGGAAAATTGGGCAAGTAAGTCACTTTGCATCATGACATGAGTCTGGAGAAGACACAAGGAAGAGCTGAATAGTAACAGGAGAGGTAGCCCTGTTAGTCTGATCTTGCTACATAGTTTTTCCTTTTGTTTTAAGGAAGAGCTGGTCATCAGTAACTCCTGTGAAGGTAGTTCCAAGAGGAGTGGCTTTTGTTTGGGTGTTTCAGTGTTTAATACTCTGCCCCCACATTATTTTCCTGCTTTTTAGTTCACGACACACAGGGGACTCGTCTGTACTTTTGCTGCAAGTGGCTGTCTCTGGGGGCGGGGTTTATGCCGGCTGCTCTGAGTTGTTGACGGAAGTAGGCTCTGGTGCTGGAGCAGAAAGGCTGCTGCCTGAACGGGACCTTGTCTCCGGCGCTGCGTTAGCAAAGGCCAGGTAAGGAGCGCGCGTGGGAGGTTCGTGTCTCGCCTGTTTGGGTGGCGGTAGGAAGGGAGCGGACGCTGGATCTCTGGAGCCTGCGAGCTGCACAGATAAAGAAACACCGGCCAGACTCGCCCCCCGCTCCCCAAATCAAAACTTTATTGGTCCGACTAGCCCCGCAACTCTTACCAGAGCGCGCAAGAGAGACCTGCGCTCCCAGGGTGTCTGCTGCATCTGGCTACAGCTTCCAGTGTATGGCCTGGGATCTAAACCCAGATGTCAATTGACCGGTGTAGTCCAGCTCTGATTTGGTCGCAGGTTGCTGCCCAGCGTGATGCAAAATCTACCATCCTTTTCCTTCCTCTTGGGATTATGCAGATTTTAATATGCCCCAAAATTGAACACACACAACATTGTTGCTAATGCGCCAACGATCATAAAGAATCTCCTAATTTGTAATTCACCCACAAATAATCTTTCCATTCAATCCTTGCCCTCAGAGGAACCTCTGAGGAACAGATGTGATCTCTGATGATAAAATTCGTTAGTTTCTAAAACCTGTAGGGGGGCTTTTTTCTTCTGTGTGTTATGGTTGCATCTAGCACAGAAGAAGGCAGCATTCTTGGGATACTATTGCAAATTAATTATTAAGTGTGCCTGAAGATCAACAGATATAGACTTGAGAGGGGGGGAAGCGTATGTGGGAGTGAAATGGGGGAGTCAGAGCTAAGGACTCTTACATTGAGAGTATTTTGCCACACCTTTCCTCCTGTTTGAAAAGGGAACTCTCATGCATTTGTGCTGAGATGATTGCAATCACTTCAGAGACAGTATCCTGTGACTCAGATCCTGCAAACAGTTATACATGAGCTTAACTTTACACATGTGAGCCATCCATGGGCTTCAGTGGGATAATTGAGATGCATAAAATTAGGTACACCATGTGTAGTTTTGCAGAATTGGTGTGGCAGGAAGCTAGGATTTAAACCATAAAGTGCTTTTGTAGGTCAACACCTGCACCCTAAGTTCCCCCAAAAACAAATCTGAGGGCAAGACAAGATTAGAGAACACCAGTGTAATATGCTTTCTACCAGCAGGGTTGCATTATTTTTTTCTTCCTCTTTTTGATGTAAAGTTTTATTTATGGTAGTTTGAAACTATCTTTCTACAACTCCTTGTTAAAGTAGACAGGGGAGTAGAAAATACCTTTTCAATTTCCATCTCTCTTGTGTCACATTATATGCATAGTCATACCTGTTTGTGTCTCCTGGTTCTGGGTACTTTGTAATGTCAGTGTTATTTGGTAAGATGCTTATACAATAGTTGTTGCCACACTATGAGCACCTCACGAATTAAATCTCGCAACATTCCTGGAGGTATGGAGCATTATTATTCCTAGCTAATGAAATGGAGGCATGGACCAACCCAAGGTTTCACAGGAAGCGAATGGTACAAGTGAGAACATAATGTAGATTGCCTCTTTGTTAGACATGTATCCTTATCATGAAATCATTCTTCCTCCCCTTTCAGGTAGTGTTTTTTGAGGCAACAGAATAGTTTGTCGGCCATTTGTCTGTTTTACTGTAGTACAGTTTTCAATTATATTTAAGGCCCTGTAAGCAGGCAAGCCCCTCATAGTCAGAGCTTTTTTTGTTTTTTAAAAAAAAAAGGTGCCGGTACTCTAGGGAAAAAGTTGTTGAGCAACAGAAGAAAAAAAGGCGGTGGGGCCGGCATTCCCCTTGTAAGAGACGCAGCGCCTTTTAGATGGCCATTTTCATTAAAGTGGTGTCAGTACGCACTATTCTTTCCAGGTAAGCTCTGACTGGACGTGCTGGTACTGCATAACGGGCAGTACCATCACAAAAAAAGCACTGCTCATAGTGATCTATTATGTACAGTGAGTTGTATAATTTTTCTAGTTTTTTAAATGCTATTCAGACTGGGAAAGGATTGTTTGCTCCACTGTAGTGGAGATTTAATGTTGCTGAAGCCAAAGAGCATAGTTATATCAGAATGTAATGTGTATTGATTTGGTTCTTGCGGGAGGTCTTCTGCTGCTTTGCACTGGAGGAAGTACATGCTTTCTTGTTTGAGATGGCACCTGAAGCTTTGTATCCATTTTTGCATGTTCATATGTAAGGTAAAATGCAGGACTATGTAGCACTTTAAAGACTAACAAGATGGTTTATTAGATGATGAGCTTTCATGGGCCAGACCCACTTTGATTGCCATGGTGGAGAAGTTCATTTACATATGTAATACAATTTTTCTCATGAAGTAACACACATTGGTTCATTAAATTATTTATCCAATTATCTCTATTAGGTTTCTCAGCATTCTTTGGATCAGTCAGTGTTCCTTAGCTGAAGTACCAACTGAAGAATTAGTATACATTTGAGTTTTATAAGCCAACATGTCTTTTTTTTTAAAGCAAATAAGAAAACACAGAAAGCAGACTAAAGCTGGTTAAACTATAGTGTTTACAATATCAAAACTGAACTCAACAAGGGATATGTGCTTTTTAAGAGATAATAAAGCAGATCAACTAATTCACAATTTTAACAATCTTGTTTCAAGAGCAGACTGCCTTGTTGAAGACTAGTCTGGGCAGGTGATTTTTGATGTCAATAGGGAACTATGGATCCTTAAATATAGATTCTTATCTCAAATTCAGTTTATCTAACAGTGGAGTTGTGTGACTATTCATGACCCTTTAAACTATACAATTTTAAGTGGAATTTTAAAAAATGTAGACAAACTTCCTAATTGCCAAAGAACGCAAATTCAACTAAAAATTATCTTCACATCATAGAAAAGCTTTTCCGCTAATGCACACACTAGATTATCAAATATTAAATTCAAATACAATACACAGATAATTATTTGGAAGCTTTTGTAATTTTTCTGGACATTGACCAACATGGAAAGCTCTTGCCTTAATTTAAATAAAGTTTTAAGTAGAGGTTAAACCTTCAGGTTGCAAGCCCTTTCCTCTTCTAAAAAGTTGTCAATTCTCTTGATCACAAAATCTGTATGTTTTTTTGACTGAACTTTCAGAAACATTCTAGTAGTGGCAACTGATACCTGTGAGGGAGAGGGAATTCAGGGAGTGCCATCCAGAAGGACAGGGCAGGAGCCTGTGGGGGTACCCCACTTAGCAATTAACATTTTGGCAGGAAAATTGAGGGGGGGTAGTGCATTTCCCAAGTGCTTTCATGAGTCACCTATGCACTCACTGGTTTCTCACAGCTAATTTTTGCTGTTGGGCAAGCAGAGTTTCCTGTTGCAAAATATACTGGGCTTAGTGTAATGAAGTTTTCCAGCATTAGTGCTTTCTACTGAGTTAATGATTCAGTGTGATTTCTAGGTAACTGAGACTAAAGATGTTAATGAAATCAAGGGAGTATTATGCATTTTAGTCATTAAGAGGGTTTTAACTGAGATTTATGCTTTCTGAGAAGCACTTAGTCTAGTTATAACCAACCAAATGGTGGGTAAGCAAATAATTATGATTTTTTTTAAAAAAAGTTATTTGCTGGTTTTCAGTTAAAAGTGCAGTGAAGCTTGGCTTTCTAGCTTAGATTTTCAGTTGTGTTTCTCCAGACTGATAAAGTTCATTCAAGTGTTTCACTGAAAAGATTATTCCAGCTATGGGCTTATTCTTTTTCCAGCATTCACAGTGACCTTCCTAGAAATAACTTTAAAAGACAGAGTTAATAGAGTGTTGCTCCTCACAGTTTGGATTTTTACAATGCAAAGGGGTACTCTTAAAATCCAGTGACAATCCAGCTCAGTTTTGTCTTTGGGAAGCAGACCAGCAGGTGGAACAAAATGGCATTTTTCCCTTTCTGCTGGCAAATAATTGTAGTTTCCCACCAGAATACAAGTTATGTCCCTTCTCATCATGCAGTGGGAGAAAGAGTTGCCTCCTTTATGGCTCCTTGCAACTTTGTCTAGAAACTCCCGTTTAATTGTTCAAAGTTCAAGCCACCTTGGGCCATACCACTTGGTGGAACAGGAACTTGATAATAGGAGGGGAGGTACATGGAAATAATTTGGTCATTATGATTAGTCCACAATTTTTTTTGTAATGATTCTGACACTGCACATATCCACGGAGCTCATTTCTCTTGTATCACCTTTGCTTGCTCTCGGTAGGTTGACCTGCAGCTGACACAAGCAGTTTCCCCAAAACAGAGCAGATTTTGCTTGTGGGGAATTTAGTTGTAGGGGAAGCACCTGTTGCAAACTGGAGTTGCAAATTGACCTTTGTCATGTGACATGATACTAAGCTTTGTGTCACTGCTCCAAGTCAGATGACTGAGACCAGGAAATAAAATTTGAGTCTCTTACCAGCACTCCCATGTGTTACAGTGCTAGTGGGGAAATTACAACAAAATTATCATATTTTTTTAATTCAAATTTTTGATTGAAAACTTTTATTTTAGAAAAGTTGAAATCTTGTGGGGGAATGATTAGCCATAGGGTCACATTCTTTCCAGAAATCATGAAATATCTCTCTTTTATCTAGCCCCAAACTTTCAGGACCAGATTTTCACATTAAGTATCCATTTTGGCAGGCACAATTTTTCACTTGCAATTAATTGTCCCCAGCACTTTGTACTTCTAATTCACTGAAATTTTTCCTTTCAAGTTCATTGTTTGTGAAAAATGAAAGCCTGCTTTAAAAATCAGGTCCTCCCTATGTCTTTGATCCTGTATGAACCGCGTGTGGAACTTTTCAGTTGTAAGTATCTTGGGCATTACTGTTAACAATCTCACTTTCAGAAAGATGTGAGTTCTAAATTGGTGGTTCCTTTAATAAACACTCTGGTGAAACTCCACCCTGTGCAAAGGGCCAGAAGGATTATAAACCACTTAAATCAATGGTTCCCAACATAGTGCCCGTGGGGGCATTTGTCTGCGCCCGCCAAGTGCTCAGGGCTGGCCTGGCCCCGGGCACGTGGCGCATGCGCGGTGCCGGAGCCGGCCCCGGGTGCATAGCGCACGGTGAGCGCCGGTGTAGCGAGCAAAACACTAACTTCTCAGAATTTGCTACTTTGGGTGCACTTCCTGAGCAGTTATACCGAATGTCATGTTTGTTTGACAGAAACTGTGACCGTCACAAAAACGGAGCGGTTTCACTTTTTGCCTATACACCGGCCTCGGGCGCGCGGCGCTTGGGGGGAGAGCGCCGGCCCCGGGAATGCGGCTATGGGGGGGCCCTGCCCCCGGGCGCCTGGCGGGCGAATGGCCACGCCCCCTGGCACCCGGCAACCCCAAATGGTTGGGGACCACTGACTTAAATCCTACTTAAACCTTATTGTAGGGGCTTAAGTGTAACTATTCTCAAGTAGACCATAAGCCTTCAGTTGCTTTTTGCGTAGGTGAGTGTTTCAGTGGTAGAAAATAAATGATACTTTAGTCCCACCTAGCTTTTGTGAAGGTTTAGCTTGGATGGCACAAACAGAATACTAGTGTTAAGTTTGAGGTTTCCTAAATTAATCATTTTGTGCACCTGACCTCAGCAGAAATGTAAGTTTGTGCTACAGAAAGCATATTTACATATACAAATTATGGTCTCTCAGTATATGAGAGGGCCTAGCTCTCCAGTGGTACAAGGTGGTGTGCAAATAAGTGAGAAAACAGTACTTTCAGACTTGATTCTAGTGAAATATGAAATTTAACACTTCAGACAGAAAATTTATGCACAGTTTTCAAAAGATACTGCATATTCATGTGTTTTGTTGTTTTGTTTTAAATTTCACATAATGTTAATAACTTTGGTTGAATTTGTATTGTTTGCAGTCTTTGTTGTATTAAGTTCTTATTTCTAATGCCTGGAACATAGTAAACATATGATGGATAATTAATACAGATTTCTTTTTCTCTTTAGAGATAAACTGTAAACAAAATGAAGCCCGCTACTGTGCATTGTTTGATTCTGGGATGTTTTTATCTGGCTTTCTGTTGTGGGTATACTTCATGTAAGTTTCTCAAAAGGTAAGTTATCATTTGGAAAAGTTTCTACTATCTTACCAAGTTTGTTTGGTTTATTTCATTTGTTTTTAAAGCAGACCGTAGACTTCTGGAATATGGTTGGGTTTTTATTAATGTGACATTTTTATTCTATCTTTTGCTGTTATTGATGCACTATATCTTTGTCGCTGTCTGCATAGTTAGCATAATGATACCACCTGAATGAAGTTGCTTTTTTATGCTTAGTAAAAATAGAGCTTTATATTTCAGAAAGAAGGGAGGAATTTTGTGCCATTAAAAACATTGTAGTTTTGCTTCCTTATTAATTTTAATCTAATATTTGTTTTAGGTAGTGCCTATAAATAATAAATGGACAAACCTGCTCAATTTTTGTGTTCATTAGATAGCTAATGAAACTGCCACGTTGTTAAGCATGACTGCTATGGCACTGTGAAGTGTGGTGTATTGTGCTAGGGTTGATGATAGATCTTATTTTTTAAAAGAGCTGAATAATTTCAGTTAGGCATCTCCATTTATATTACTATCTCCTAGAGCTGGAAGGGACCTTGAAAGGTCATAGAGTCCAGTCCCCTGCCTTCACAGCAGGATTAAGTACCATCTCTGAGAGATTTTGCCCCAGATCCCTAAATGGCCTCCTCAAGGATTGAGCTCATAACACTGCGTTTAGCAGGCCAATGCTCAAACCGCTGAGCTATCCCTCCTAGTAAAGTGCTTTTGACTCACTAGCTAAGTGTGTGTCTACACTTCAAATACTACAGCAACACAGGTGCACCATATTAGTGATTCAGTGTAGACCAGAGATGGACAATAAGTGGCTCAGGGGCCAGATGGGGTTCTCTAGGGTTAGATATTCTATTAGGCCTCCAGAGGCTGCCTTTACCTGAACATCCACAGGTATGGCTGCTCGCAGCTCCTGTTCACTGCCGTTTGCTGTTCCTGGCCAATGGAAGAATTCTTCCATTCATCTATTGCTAGCTAAACCACGGGTTGGTCAGTAAAGATACATATCTCAGACCATGTCTACACTAGACCTGGTAACTTAGCTTAAGGTACTCAGCTCCAGCTACATAGAATATGAAGCTGGAGTCAGCTTACCTTAAGCTGAGCTTGACAGTGTCTCCATAGTGGGAGGCAGACGGGAGCAAACACAAAAGGAGAAGTATTGATTCCAGTGGGGGTGCCCTCTGAGTTTAAATTTAGCAAGTCTTAACTAGGCTTGGTAAACCGAACTCCAGAAGATTGATCGCGGCAACGGCGATCTTTCTTTTAGTGTAGACAAGACTTTAGGGTTATGGAGAGACTTAGCTATACTAATGTCAATTCCCAGTGTAAACCTTGCCTAAGGTACGAGAAGCTGAAAATGGCAGATTGGCTCAGTTTTCCTGCAATACTTCTGTTATGTGAATGGGTCACATTTGGAGCCAAAAGTTATTCTTTTGTATGGTTCCTGATATTCAGAGACACACTTTCAAATTAATGACATTTTTTCTGAGAAGGAGGTTGATAGCTCTTCACAATAAGAGCCATGTAGGTGACAAGTTAATTTACTCATGTACAGGATTTGGTGGCATCTGAGGAGGGTGGGGTCATAGTGCCTCAGTCTGGGCTTTAAGCACTTAAATCCCTTTGTGGGTCTGGCCCTAAATTAAAGTTTTTTGAGTGTGTATATGGAGGGCTAAGCTTTAGTTTTGGAATGATTACTATAGTAGAGGAACTTCTGCAGTTTCAAGTCCAGAAAAAGAGTTTTGTTATAAGTGTGTGGTTTTGGAGTTTATTTTAATCTTAGAATTTACATAGCATTAGGAAATCTTTCAACTGTTACAAAATATTGTAAGATCCAACAATAACTGTGTAATATAGTTAGAGATCTCAGTAGGAGAAATGTTGATTATTGTTGTTGTGGCTATGCCTGATTGGTTCAAAGGCTTTTGAGTACTGCATAATGAACTAAAAACCACACATAAATCCAACTGAGGGTATGTCTACACTACCCCGCTAGTTCGAACTAGGAGGGTAATGTAGGCATACCGCACTTGCAAATGAAGCCCGGGATTTGAATTTCCCGGGCTTCATTTGCATAAGCGGGGAGCCGCCATTTTTAAAACCCTGCTAGTTCGAACCCTGTGCAGCGCGGCTACACGGGGCATGAACTAGGTAGTTTGAACTAGGCTTCCTAGTTCGAACTACCGTTACTCCTCGAGAAATAGGAAATCAGGGGCTGGCGTGGGGTAGGACTACAAGCAGCTCAGCCGGAGGCTGCTCCCCAAGGCAGTCCACAGTTGTTGGGTGCCATGTTGCTGGCCAGTTTCTTCCCAGGGCTAGGGTGCTTCACTTCCCCTGTAGTTATTCAGGGGTATAACTATTGCTTGCTGCCCCTTATGGTCATTTGTGAGTATAACTGTCTCTATCACACCCTGTCTTTCGGATTGATGAGAAAGTCACATGCAAAGCCTCAGAGGCGTGGCACCCCGCCGCCGCTGCAGCTTTGCTCCCGGTGCCTCTGGTCTGCTGGGGACCGTCTCCAGCAGACCAGGGACACCCGGAGCAAAGCCGGGGAGGCGGAGGGGTCCTGCGCCTCTGAGGCTTTGCCAGAGCAAAGCCTCAGAGGCACGGCACCGCGCCACCGCTGTGGCTTTGCTCCCCATGTCCCTGGTCTGCTGGGGGGGAGGGCGCAGCTAGTGGCCCCGCCCCCCCCCCCCCCCCCGCACCCGGGGGACGGG